GGATGCCAGTGGAGGGCACCCTGCTCCTTGTGCAGCCAACCTCTGTGCTGCAGTTGGAGGAATGGTTTGGGAGAGTGTCATACCACAGTGGTGGAGAAATGCCAGCCCTGCCATAGAGTCTCTGTGAGAAAATTGATAAGTACATCAGGCAAAGCTTCGACACCATCTCCCAGCAAGGTTCTGTTGATATCTGTTACATCAGTGTTCTTTTTGGAGATAACATTGATCCAGGCAGTGCTTAGCTAGCAGATAGAAACACAGCCTCCAGTGTCTCTGCACCACTGTCCCTCCCAAAAGGGTTTTTTGCAACAAAACTTTCCAGTGTAGACAAGCCCTAAGTTATTGGTTCTGTGAATGCTGTGGGTGGTAGGGTTACTAGGTAGACCCCCCCAAAATACTGGACACACTTGATTGTGGGCAGGAGGGGGAGGGACTGCTGGGAGGCTCCCAGAGGCACACAACCAGAGGGTGCCAGCTGGGAGACGGGGCTACGATTGGCAATGGGAGCCTCTGGTTGTATGCAAAAGCCAAGCACGAGGAGTGGCTGGGCATCCCAGCCCCCACCCTGTCCCACCCGGCTTTTGCACGTGACCACAGCGCACCCAGTGCCAATCGCGGCCCCTCCTCCCAGTCGTTTCTCCATCCCCGCCAGGCTTCCATCCAGCGCCCAGCCTGAAATTCAGAAAATACCAGATATTGAACATTTCTGGTATTTTCTGAATTTTTCTACCAGACAGAGGGCACAAATACCGAATTGTCAGGTAGAAAACCGGACACCTGGCAACCCTACAGCACACTGGGCCTTCTTGTCATTCCTGTCATTTAAACAATGGTTTACAGGCAGTCCCCGGGTTACGTACAAGATAGGGACTGTAGGTTTGTTCTTAAGTTGAATTTGTATGTAAGTCGGAACTGGTGTCTAGATTCAGCCTCTGTTGAAACTGACCAGCAGCTGACTACAGGAAGCCCGAGGCAGAGCTACTCTGCCCCAGGCTTCCCGCCAGGCTTCTGTCCAGAGCCCAGCTGGAAATTCAGAAAATACCAGACATTGCACATGTCCGGTATTTTTTGAATTTTTCTACCGGACAGAGGGCGCAAAAACTGGACGGTCCGGTAGAAAACCGGACACCTGGCAATGCTAGGGGTAGAGCCCCTGTATCAACAAGCAAATAGAAAGTGTGGTTGCCACTGTAGATTGGCAGTGCTGTAGACCCTGACAACAGCATATTACAACTCCTGCCACATGACTTCAGTGCAGTGGAGAAAGAGATTAGGGATAGTGGGAATAACTTTGTCAATAGTTGACCATTTTTCAGATTGACACCCAAAATCAATCAAAGCAAAACAGTTTCCACCAGAAAATCAAAGTGTGTGTGTGTGTGTGTGGTTTGTTTTTTTTTGTTTGTTTTTTGTTTTTTGATGTTTCGGTTTGGGTTTCTTGCTCAGACTAGCCTTTCTCTTTCTTTGGTGGAGACTAAGATGTCACTTACTTGTGGGGGAGTGAAGTAGGTCTAGTAGGGCCCCTTCTATCTGAATGTATTTCTAAAAGCAGCAAGTGACACTTCTAGATTATATTACATGGGACTATTGTGGAAGGAACGACGCACCTGGTTTAGCATTAATTTGTTTATTGCCCAAAATGTTTGGATAAAAATAATGGGATTTCCAAATCTTTATGACTGGAATTCTCAGAGCATATTTTCATTATCCTTTCTCCTTGAGAGCCTGAGTTATGTCTCATAAAAAGAGAAAATACCTTGTATACTGGATTAGTGTTTGATAACTTCTGCAGAGGAAACAGTTAGTGATCATTCTGTTTATCATTGAGCTGGTTCCTCCACACACACTCACTCCCCGCTCCCCTTCCCCCGTTCTTGCTTTTTGAGATGGGGAAAAAAGTCTGAAAGTTGAATTTTGGAGAGGAGGAGAGCAAAAGGGAACCTATTCACTCTGATTTTGTGGCTTGTCTCTGTTTTACAGTAATTGAGTATTTATGAGAATTGAACACTTACACTATGCAGAGGGTTTTTTCCTGCTATTCTGCTTTTATCATACTGGCCTATGTGACTGTGTGGGCATTGTTTTGGCTTTTAAAGAACTCTATTTGTAATCCTGGTCCTTACAGAAGTACGTTTTCATTTTCTTTCCTTTCAGAAATTAAAAAAGTCAAGATAAATTATTAGATGAGAGAAACCATTAGTTTGTATCTCACCAGAAGGTGGTATATTATAGATTCTGTGAGCAGTTAAAAAGACCTCCTTACGTTACAGGACCAAAGAGTAAAAATTTATTCCAAAGGAAGTCTTTAAACTCCAGGATTGAATGGGTGACATGGCAGTCTTTCTTAAGCTTTTCTCACTGGAGATGGGAAAACAAGGTGCCTGTTAAATAACTATCACCTTTTCTTTCTAGTATGCTTTGATCACCAGTAAAATAGTTAACAATGTTAACATTTACATTCTAAACTTAGGCTTCAGAGTTTGTATCCCTGGATATGAGTAGAGGCAAATCGCAACGCTATAGTTTCAGGGTGTCTATAGACTTTGTCAGAGATCACTACACTGTTTCACATCTGATTCACATTTTGAAGGTTGCCCTGGCAGTTGTGACATCTAGAGGATTGTTTTGTAAATGATTGTTTAAAATTTGCTACACAAGATGGGAATCCTCCAGGAAAACAGCTTACTAAGTTGATCACAAGATGGCTCAATTTGACCCTGGCTTAAATGTATAGA